ACAAATTTAGAGACTTTATATAAAAAATATAAAGTAGTTTATATATATACACTATATCTATATATCTATATATCTATATATATCTATATATCTATATTTATATCAAATAATAATACATTTTTTTACCCTTAATCTAATCTGTAAATGATGATAAACTTTTCATCACAAAATTTACTATTTCCTTATTCTCTTTAAAACAAAACAAAATCATGACATGACATGATGGCATTTGTGGCCATTATTATTTTAATGTGAACCTTTTAGAATAATAGTAAATGTATATTACATTTCTTTGTACAGAAACCAACACATAGTGCCAAATTACTTGAAGAAGGTCACGGCTGAGCTGAATGCCAAAGGTGTTACCATGGATAACTTGACACAGGAGGAGCTGGATGATTGGGAAAAGCTAAGACAACAACTGATTAAACAATAAAGTAGCTAATAATTAGGGATTTGGAAGCTACTAATTTATAACAAAGTAGCTCATAATTAGGGATTTGGAAGCTACTTATTTATTTATTTTGAAAATTATTCAAGATTGAATCCTTCACATTAAGATAGAGATGTATAAACCACTGTAAATTAACAAAAGTTGTATTTTATACACACCATTGTTTTTAATTTACATAAAATTTTAGTTGTTTTAAATCTAAACATTGTAGTTTACTAAAGAAATGATAGACTTCACTAATATTTGAATTGTTTTTTTTTATGTGGTGAATATGGAAAGTTTTTTTTTTTTTTAGATATATAAATAGATTACTCATTTGAGAATTTACATCCTTAATGACAATTTTTTATTAACTGTACTGGAATGGAACTAATAATTATTAATTAACCTTCAATGTATTTTACATTCAACAGAAAGATAGTTTTTTGTTAAATATAAAGAAATATTTTAAATTTTTTAATGTATGTTATTAGATATAATACAGCTATTTTATTGTCTACATTATTTTCCTGACTTTTATAATAATATTACAATCTTTTACATTCAATAATAATCTTATACTCATTTCTATTAGTCTTTCATCAATAACAAATGCAAAGGTTGTGTTGTGAATAAAAAAAATATCAACTTTAAAATGTCATATCTATTGATTTTGAAATGAATTCACTGCTGTGTACACTACTTTACTGTAGCAAAAAATATTGGAAAATTACTAATACAAAAAGACTGCTAAAAGCAACAGTAGACATAAAATATTATATAAAAAATTTTGTATTGCAAAAAAAAATTGAAAATAAAGTGAACATTTAAAAAAAGTTATATTTAAACCTTATTATTTGATTTTCATAAAATGTGCACAAAGTTTTTATTAAAATATAAACATCACAACAGAGTCGTGCAAAAATGTATTTAATGAGAAAAATAATCAACTACATGTCTCAGAATATTTTAGAAACAATATATACATCATTTAAGTGAATATTGATTGAAACCCTGCTGTATGATGCTGATCAACCTTAAAATACTTTTTTTTTGTTTATTTCTATTGTTTTTTTTTAAATAATCATTTTAAAATATTTTTTCTGTAATTTATTATTAAATATTAATTACAGCATAAAGTTGAAGTTTGTACTGTATTAATTAATACTATTTGTACTGTATTAATTAATCCTATTTGTACTGTATTAATTAATCCTACTTGTACTGTATTAATTAATCCTATCCTTCAACCTACTTAAAACCTGCTGGCTAGTATTTAGTTACACACATGCATGCTCACACCAACACACACATACAATATATGTATATATATATATATATATATATATATATATATATATATATATATATATATATATATATATATATATGTATATATATATATATATATATATATATATATATATATATATATATATATATATATATATATATATATATATATATATATATATATATATATATATATATATATATATCTGTACCTCTTTAAAATAAAAAAAAAAAAAAAAAAAAAAATCTATCTCTGGATATTGTTTTTTTTTTCGCCACTAAACCATCAGTTATCTGAACTGAAACCAACTAAACCATCAGATATCTGAACTGAAACCCACTAAACCATCAGATATCTGAACTGAAACCCACTAAACCTTCAGATATCTGAACTGAAACCCACTAAACCATCAGATATCTGAACTGAAACCCACTAAACCATCAGATATCTGAACTGAAACCCACTAAACCATCAGATATCTGAACTGAAACCCACTAAACCATCAGATATCTGAACTGAAACCCACTAAACCATCAGATATCTGAACTGAAACCCACTAAACCACCAGATATCAGAACTGAAACCCACTAAACCATCAGATATCAGAACTGAAACCCACTAAACCATCAGATATCTGAACTGAAACCCACTAAACCATCAGATATCTGAACTGAAACCCACTAAACCATCAGATATCTGAACTGAAACCCACTAAACCATCAGATATCAGAACTGAAACCCACTAAACCATCAGATATCAGAACTGAAACCCACTAAACCATCAGATATCTGAACTGAAACCCACTAAACCATCAGATATCTGAACTGAAACCCACTAAACCATCAGATATCTGAAATGAAACCCACTAAACCATTAGATATCTGAACTGAAACCCACTAAACCATCAGATATCTGAACTGAAACCCACTAAATCATCAGATATCTGAACTGAAACCCACTAAACCATCAGATATCAGAACTGAAACCCACTAAACCATCAGATATCTGAAATGAAACCCACTAAACCATCAGATATCTGAACTGAAACCCACTAAACCATCAGATATCTGAACTGAAACCCACTAAATCATCAGATATCTGAACTGAAACCCACTAAACCATCAGATATCTGAACTGAAACCCACTAAACCATCAGATATCTGAACTGAAACCCACTAAATCATCAGATATCTGAACTGAAACCCACTAAACCATCAGATATCTGAACTGAAACCCACTAAACCATCAGATATCTGAACTGAAACCCACTAAATCATCAGATATCTGAACTGAAACCCACTAAACCATCAGATATCTGAACTGAAACCCACTAAACCATCAGATCTCTGAACTGAAACCTGAGTTCCCATATACAAATTAAACAGGTTCCCAACCAACCATCCATGGATAGTCTTTAAGTCTTGTGAGTAAATGAGCACACACATTTGGTGTTAGCATGCAGACGTGTCAAAAAATAAAGTAGAGAAACACTGTAAGATTATGGGTTTAAGGAAAGTCTAGAGTTCGTATCCCATGCCCTGGAGCTAGCTGGACGTTCACATATCACTGATGGGTACCTGACTCAAGTTAGGGAAAGTAAGGGTTCATCCATAAATGACGTCACGCTTTTTTGACGATTTTTTTTTACCTTCCCCCTTCCCTGCGTTACACTTCGTCACAAAAGGCCAGATCCCCCATAAAATGACGTCACACCTCTGCCTACAACCCCCTTAAAATTGTGGTTGAAATTAATTTTCTTAAAATACGATATTTTTCCAAAATGTTGTCTGAACTCTGTCCACATAGAGTATTTTAATCAATTCCTATTACAATTTATTAAAACAGTTTTCTAAAACGCGAAATAACGTCTAAAATTAGTTTTCTAACATTGCTATTTTATAATGCAAAAGTGTGACGTCACACTATCTAACCCCCCCCCCCCCTCTCCGTCATCACACACCATCACAAAATTAGGGGGGGGGTGAGTAATAGAATAGAATATTCTAATATATATATAATTCCGTTTCGTTTGGGGGGAGGGGGGAGGCTCTGCCCGAAGAGATGCCTGGAAGAAACTCTTATAGGCCAATGCCGCCCAATGCAAGAACATAGATTACATATATGTATGTGTATAAAATTAGGCCTATGTACATTTATAGACCCCACATATAGGTAGACATATATGTAGCTTAAACATAAAGGCTACACAAACAGACAATATCATTATTGATATAGGCCTACACCTGTCTATACTGAACCATTTAAAATCGGGCATAATTAAACATCTGTATACCCATAAAACTGCAAATACGTTTACATCTACATTTATGTAGGCCCTATAGGGCTAGTAAGTAGGTCACCAACCGGCTCTACTGCTCAATAAAACCTGCATGAGCCGTAGATCTGGTTGGTGACCTACTTACCAGCCCTATATATGTTTAAAAATATGATGTACACATAGATAATTGCCCTTTACTATACTGGATATTACACATAAGCTTACTCTGCTTAGCGTGCCTGTACTGTTTACTCAAGTTGTCGTTATTGCACTTGATGCAGTACTATACTTACTGTCTAGCCAGCATTGGAAACTAGCTTATCACTTAGCTTATCTTAAACTATTTTATATAATACGTTTGATATTGACTACAAAATACAACGAATAATTTAAAAGAAAATGAAACAAACATAGCAGCTATCTTACATATGTTTAATTGACCCCATATAAAATGTGGCAGCATTTACTGTAACGACGCGGACGGATCTTTCACGTGATGTTCGACACTTTCGCCTAAAGGTTTGTCTATACGTGGAGTCTATACAGGAGTCACGTGTCAAGTTTCTGTCGAAAAGTTCCAGGTTAAGTTCGTGAAGCTCGGTACCGTCCTGTGCACCAAGGAGATCTGGAAGTGCTGGCGGAGCGCCCAGGACCAGTTCCACGGCCACGTTTGTAACATGATCCGGTACACGGCCCGGTACTCGGGTCTGAGCAGGGAGTAGATGGGCGCGTTGGCCAGCGAGTTGCCGAAACACAGCAGGAGCATGAGGTTTTTGACGACGTGCACCGTCTTGCCAGTGAAGGTGCCGGTGCCGATGAGGTAACCGACGACTAAGAACGGCAGCCACAAGATAGCGTAGACGAACATGAAACAAGCCGCTCTTGTCACGCTAGATTTTCGCTGCACCACCACCTGGGCGTCTCTGGAAGAGACGGTGGACATCTTTCTCACCCCGGCCAGCTGCCGGCGGACGATCAAACACAAATGGATGTTCAAACAGGTCGAGATTATAATCAAGCAGAAGCACTTACACAACAGGGTGGTCAGGTAATAGTGAGGAAGATTGGTGTAAAAATTACACCGTTTGAACGGGTCGTGTTCTGTTGTGTTGAAGTTGTTCCACCGTACTGGGGCTGCCGCGAAGGCGACGATGTAGATCCACATGACGAGCACGACCGCCAGTATCCGACTCACCGTCATGCGCTGTATGTAATACATGGGCCTGGCCACGTAAATGTACCGGTCAACCGCTATGACAAACAACGCACACAGCGAGCCGTACCCCGATAAAATCACGGCCGACCACATCCCAATACAGGTGTACTTATTACAGAAAATATACACCTTCGTCCAGTTGATCTTGCTCATGATGAACAGCGGAAGACAGTAGAAAGCCATGAGTAGATCAGCGAAGGTCAAGCTGACCAGCAGCAGGTTGCTGGCTGATCGACTGCCGGGGTACAGCATGATACCGCACACGGAGATCAAGTTCAACAACCCGATCAGTACGACGTAGATGCCGCAGACGGTGACGAAAATCTTGTCCACCACCAGTGACTCAAACTCTTCCTGGATGTAGGTCTGGCTCCAGTTCTGGGGGGCGGCCGGTTCGGTAGGGTCATCTAAGGTCTTGCACCAGGACATCTTGCTTCACACAAGTCGCCATGCGCACGAGATGGACTTGACACGCTGGAGCAAATGGGTGTAACAACAGACTGATTTGAAAGAATGGAACGTAAAGACACATATTCTGGTCGATCGTACTACATTACAAGCTTGGGTATCGGTCAGAGGCGTAGCGAGGGGGGGGGGGACGGGGGGGACATATGTCCCCGGGCGCCGACCTTAGGGGGCGCCAAATTGAAAGTTTGAGGGGGGGGGGGGTGCAAATGAAAAGTTCGAGGGGGGGGGGGGGGGGTTTGCAAATCGAAAGTTTGAGGGGGGGGGGGGGTGCAAATGAAAAGTTCGAGGGGGGAGGGGCGCAAATCGAAAGTTTGTCCCCGGGCGCAGGGAGGGGTCGCTACGCCTCTGGTATCGGTGCTCTGTGTGGGTCGGTTTTTTTTTTTCTTCTTTTGGTGTCACTAAAGATTTACGATTGGTTGGGGTGGGGGTGGAGAGTGAGGGTAGGGAAGGGGGGAGGGGGTGGAATAATAATCAGCAAAATGTTAGTGTTCAGGAAGTCACCGTTATAAATTATACAGTTTAAGGTTCTAATTATTCTAATATTTATTATTTAAATATAAAAACGTTCAAACCGTAGACAAAATGTTGTACTCTTGTCTATTTCCTTCTTCCTATGAACATACTTTACAAAAATATCTTTGCCTGGAAAAAATACACTAGGGACATTAACACAAAAGCTCTTTAAAAAATAAAATTTAAAAAATACGCTACTTAATTTAAGCACCAGTGCGCACTAAAATAGTTTAAAATGTGGAAATTACACATCATGTGGTGCGCTACAAAGTTTTTCTAGTCATCGTCCGTATACATCTAGCTTGTTGCTATTAGACAATGAATTTAGGTAAACTGTAAACATACGTTGGAATTTTGTTAGTCAAACAAAAAAATTATGTAAACATACGTTGGTATTTTTTACAGTCAATAAATTGATGTAAACGTATGTTGGTATTTTGTTTCAGTCAGAAAATAAATTTTTATAAACATGCTTCGGTTCTTTGTTGCCGGCGTCCACATTAAAATGTGCATCTAGACTGTTGTGTCCTGATGTGGACATGTGGCACGAGAAGCGGCACTATAAAGGCAGTGGCGTAGGCGGGGGGGGGGGGGGTTAGGGGGGACCCTCGGTATATAGAAAAAGTATGAGGGGGGTGCAAATTTAAAGTTTGAGGGGGGGGGGGGTGCAAATCGAAAGTTTGTCCCCGGGTAAAAATTGGAACCCCCCACCCCCCCTTGAGACGATCCTGGCTACGCCACTGTATAAAGCATTGCAGGACAAGTAAAAACCATGATTTTATTGGACGAACCAGTTGAGGACGGCATTTCAGTGTTTTCGTGTGGGCCTGGTAGATTTTAAACTTGGTCGTTGTACAAAAAAATGTATGATGCCTTTCACGGTCAATAATTTGAGCTTTAATATCACAGTAATCTTAGTTTTCTTTTAAGTGTATGTAAGTATTAAAAGTTTTAAGATACAGAATCCACCGTGAGACAAGTTATTTTATGTGACAAATTTAAATATGCAGGCACTTTCTGATTAATTTATTTTAGGTCAGCTAAACCTTGGCGTACGACGTTAGAAAAATAAGTGTTTCAGATATGGTGAGCGTAGACCTACACCATTTGATGTAATTTTTCCAGATTTACTAAAAGCAGACCCACAATATTTGACAAGTAATGGAGGAAAATATCGTGTATCTATGTTCGACAGTTAAATAGTCGGAAAACCGAATCTTGGTATGGCACATTTACCCCCATCAGCATTTGACAAGTCATTTTTCTAAGTCTGCCAACTGTAGGCTGACGGTTAAGTTTTAAGTTCACTGGACAGTCCATGGGGCCAGTAGCGTAGCAGGATCGTCTCTTGGGGGGGGGGGGGGGTGTTCAAATTTTTACCCGGGGACAAACTTTAGATTTGCACCCCCCCCCACCCGTCAAACTTTCGATTTGCACCCCCCCCCCCCTCAAACTTTCGATTTGCACCCCCCCCTTCAAACTTTTGATTTGCACCTCATCCCCCTCAAACTTTCGATTTGCACCCCCCCCCTCAAACTTTCGATTTACACCCCCATACTTTATATATATACCGAGGGGTCTATGGGGGGGGGGGTTATGACCCCCCTAACCCCCCTGCCTACGCCACTGCATAGGGCAAATAAAGTAGAGTTCAACTGTTTCTGTGACCTCGGTATATGAAGTGATATTTGATCAGTACTATATCCACCCGACTTTACTTTCCCTAACTTAAGTCAGGTACCCATCAAAGCTGGGTGGACTCAGGGACGTTTTATGGACTTGAACCCGGATTCGAACTCGAGACTTAGGATTTTATTTTTGGATTTGCAACCATAGAGAGTTTGCTCATCCAAGAGCAAACTACACGACGGCAGTTGTTTGATTTTGGTGTTTTCTATCCTGGGGGTTCAAAGTTTGGACTTTTCGGTTTAGCAACCATGAGCTTTAAGACCCAGCAACGCCAACCCTATTTTACCGTTCAAACTACAACATATTGTATTCTTCATTGATATCTGTCACTAAACCAGAAAAGAGATAAAAAAAGGATAACGATGAATTAACCTGCATTCATTGTTTCACTTTTGTTAGATGTTACCTTTAAAGTCTGAACACACTCATTAAAACAGCAGGGATAAAACCGTTTAAGAATCTCCTTTATTTAAACATTTACTCTTGTATAACAAACAATTACTTTAATTAACAGATGAGAATTATCCAATTAGAATTCCTGGAATGGTTACCACCATTGTATCTGAAAGAGTACCAAGCCTGCAGGCTCTAGTCATTGACAACCCGTGGGCAGGGTTTCTTCTCCACCTTTTTGGGCTGACAATCGGAGGATTTTTTCCCTTTCTTGGGCGCAGCTTCGCTTGGTTTCCTGAACTTATAGAGCAGGAAGGCGCCAAGTAGGCTTGAATAGGTGAGTACCACCCACTGAAAAAATCCAATGTTGTATATATATATATATATATATATATATATATATATATATATATATATATATATATATATATATATATATATATATACATACATATATATATATATATATGCGCCTATATAACCTATATATAAGTGTGTATAAACATTTAAATTTTTGCCATATCCAGCTAGATACATCCTTGCCCTCCACCATCCACGGAGCCCATCCACTGCTCCCCCCTCCCCGGACACATTCAAAATTATATAATTTATCCAGAAAATATAAACCTTAACCATTACCCACCCCCCCCCCTCCCACCCATTTCCACTTTCTGAATCGACCTTCTCCCCTTTTCAAGTACACCCCCCCCCACTCCTCCCGAAGAATAAAGTGTAGACCATTTAAAAGTAAACTATTTAAAAGAGTAAACTATTTGAAAGTATAACCTATTATAAACTACAGTAAGTACTAACGTTAAACCGCCCTCTAAGAGTGTAGCTGTTGAAGTATTTCTGGAATCCTGTCAACTTTAATTCTTCTTCCGGTACAAAATCTCCTGCCATCTTTTCTCTTCTTTCCACTCAACACTTTCGGAGTATTCAACAGTATTTCTAGAGGGGAAGAGTTACATATTATTTGTGTACATTTCCGTGATAAATCTCCGGTTAACCTATTAATACCCATTTTCTCCCTAGTGGTCGTCCATAAATGACGTCAAACTGGGGGAGTGGGGGGGGGGTCCGTAAGTTTGTGACGGTTTGTGATGAGGGGGAGAGGGGGGGGGGGGGGGGGAATTCAGATGGTGTGACGTCGCACTTTTGCATTTTAAAATAACAATGTAAGAAAACGTATTTTAGCCGTTATTTCGCTTTTTATAAAACTGTTTTAATAAGTTGTAATAGAAATTGATTATAATACTCTATGTTGACAGAGGTCAGACACATTTTTTTTAAAAATATCGATGTTTTAAGAAAAATTCAACTACAATTTTGAGAGGTTGTGTGTGTGGGGGGGGGGGGGGGGGCTGAGGTGTGACGTCATTTTTGGGTGGGTCTGGCCTTTTGTGACGATGTGTGACGGAAGGGGGGGGAGGTAAAAATCGTCCAAAAAAAGCGTGACGTCAGTTATGGATGGCCCCCCCTCCCCCCTAGCACTTGTTATACATTAAGTGTTAGACTGTAGAACCCCAAAGTCGGGCGTTGTGAACACTCGAATTTAGTAGAGTCGTTCCAGATTAACTTTTATGATGGCGGGGCTTATCTGGGCTCGCTCCCGTATTTCAGTATTTCTATCTTTAACCTAGAAATGTGGGGTTGCAGCCCTTTGCTCCCCAGGGGCCACAAAGGAATGATGATCTTTAACCTAGAAATGTGGGGTTGCAGCCCTTTGCTCCCCAGGGGCCACAAAAGAATGATGATCTTTAACCTAGAAATGTGGGGTTGCTGCCCTTTGCTCCTCAGGGGCCACAAAGTATTTCTATCTTTAACCTAGAAATGTGGGGTTGCAGGCCTTTGCTCCCCAGGGGCCACAAAAGAATGATGATCTTTAACCTAGAAATGTGTGGTTGCAGCCCTTTGCTCCCCAGGGGCCACAAAGGAATGATGATCTAGAACCTAGAAATGTGTGGTTGCAGCCCTTTGCTCCCCAGGGGCCACAAAGGAATGATGATCTTTAACCTAGAAATGTGGGGTTGCAGCCCTTTGCTCCCCAGGGGCCACAAAGGAATGATGATCTAGAACCTAGAAATGTGTGGTTGCAGCCCTTTGCTCCCCAGGGGCCACAAAGGAATGATGATCTTTAACCTAGAAATGTGGGGTTGCAGCCCTTTGCTCCCCAGGGGCCACAAAGGAATGATGATCTAGAACCTAGAAATGTGTGGTTGCAGCCCTTTGCTCCCCAGGGGCCACAAAGGAATGATGATCTAGAACCTAGAAATGTGTGGTTGCAGCCCTTTGCTCCCCAGGGGCCACAAAGGAATGATGATCTAGAACCTAGAAATGTGTGGTTGCAGCCCTTTGCTCCCCAGGGGCCACAAAGGAATGATGATCTAGAACCTAGAAATGTGTGGTTGCAGCCCTTTGCTCCCCAGGGGCCACAAAGGAATGATGATCTAGAACCTAGAAATGTGTGGTTGCAGCCCTTTGCTCCCCAGGGGCCACAAAGGAATGATGATCTAGAACCTAGAAATGTGTGGTTGCAGCCCTTTGCTCCCCAGGGGCCACAAAGGAATGATGATCTAGAACCTAGAAATGTGTGGTTGCAGCCCTTTGCTCCCCAGGGGCCACAAAGGAATGATGATCTAGAACCTAGAAATGTGTGGTTGCAGCCCTTTGCTCCCCAGGGGCCACAAAGGAATGATGATCTAGAACCTAGAAATGTGTGGTTGCAGCCCTTTGCTCCCCAGGGGCCACAAAGGAATGATGATCTAGAACCTAGAAATGTGTGGTTGCAGCCCTTTGCTCCCCAGGGGCCACAAAGGAATGATGATCTAGAACCTAGAAATGTGTGGTTGCAGCCCTTTGCTCCCCAGGGGCCACAAAGGAATGATGATCTAGAACCTAGAAATGTGTGGTTGCAGCCCTTTGCTCCCAAGGGGCCACAAAGGAATGATGATCTTTAACCTAGAAATGTGGGGTTGCAGCCCTTTGCTCCCCAGGGGCCACAAAGGAATGATGATCTAGAACCTAGAAATGTGTGGTTGCAGCCCTTTGCTCCCCAGGGGCCACAAAGGAATGATGATCTAGAACCTAGAAATGTGTGGTTGCAGCCCTTTGCTCCCCAGGGGCCACAAAGGAATGATGATCTAGAACCTAGAAATGTGTGGTTGCAGCCCTTTGCTCCCCAGGGGCCACAAAGGAATGATGATCTAGAACCTAGAAATGTGTGGTTGCAGCCCTTTGCTCCCCAGGGGCCACAAAGGAATGATGATCTAGAACCTAGAAATGTGTGGTTGCAGCCCTTTGCTCCCCAGGGGCCACAAAGGAATGATGATCTAGAACCTAGAAATGTGTGGTTGCAGCCCTTTGCTCCCCAGGGGCCACAAAGGAATGATGATCTAGAACCTAGAAATGTGTGGTTGCAGCCCTTTGCTCCCCAGGGGCCACAAAGGAATGATGATCTAGAACCTAGAAATGTGTGGTTGCAGCCCTTTGCTCCCCAGGGGCCACAAAGGAATGATGATCTAGAACCTAGAAATGTGTGGTTGCAGCCCTTTGCTATCCAGGGGCCACAAAGGAATGATGATCTTTAACCTAGAAATGTGGGGTTGCAGCCCTTTGCTCCCCAGGGGCCACAAAGGAATGATGATCTAGAACCTAGAAATGTGTGGTTGCAGCCCTTTGCTCCCCAGGGGCCACAAAGGAATGATGATCTAGAACCTAGAAATGTGTGGTTGCAGCCCTTTGCTCCCCAGGGGCCACAAAGGAATGATGATCTAGAACCTAGAAATGTGTGGTTGCAGCCCTTTGCTCCCCAGGGGCCACAAAGGAATGATGATCTAGAACCTAGAAATGTGTGGTTGCAGCCCTTTGCTCCCCAGGGGCCACAAAGGAATGATGATCTAGAACCTAGAAATGTGTGGTTGCAGCCCTTTGCTCCCCAGGGGCCACAAAGGAATGATGATCTAGAACCTAGAAATGTGTGGTTGCAGCCCTTTGCTCCCCAGGGGCCACAAAGGAATGATGATCTAGAACCTAGAAATGTGTGGTTGCAGCCCTTTGCTCCCCAGGGGCCACAAAGGAATGATGATCTAGAACCTAGAAATGTGTGGTTGCAGCCCTTTGCTCCCCAGGGGCCACAAAGGAATGATGATCTAGAACCTAGAAATGTGTGGTTGCAGCCCTTTGCTCCCCAGGGGCCACAAAGGAATGATGATCTAGAACCTAGAAATGTGTGGTTGCAGCCCTTTGCTCCCCAGGGGCCACAAAGGAATGATGATCTAGAACCTAGAAATGTGTGGTTGCAGCCCTTTGCTCCCCAGGGGCCACAAAGGAATGATGATCTAGAACCTAGAAATGTGTGGTTGCAGCCCTTTGCTCCCCAGGGGCCACAAAGGAATGATGATCTAGAACCTAGAAATGTGTGGTTGCAGCCCTTTGCTCCCCAGGGGCCACAAAGGAATGATGATCTAGAACCTAGAAATGTGTGGTTGCAGCCCTTTGCTCCCCAGGGGCCACAAAGGAATGATGATCTAGAACCTAGAAATGTGTGGTTGCAGCCCTTTGCTCCCCAGGGGCCACAAAGGAATGATGATCTAGAACCTAGAAATGTGTGGTTGCAGCCCTTTGCTCCCCAGGGGCCACAAAGGAATGATGATCTAGAACCTAGAAATGTGTGGTTGCAGCCCTTTGCTCCCCAGGGGCCACAAAGGAATGATGATCTAGAACCTAGAAATGTGTGGTTGCAGCCCTTTGCTCCCCAGGGGCCACAAAGGAATGATGATCTAGAACCTAGAAATGTGTGGTTGCAGCCCTTTGCTCCCCAGGGGCCACAAAGGAATGATGATCTAGAACCTAGAAATGTGTGGTTGCAGCCCTTTGCTCCCCAGGGGCCACAAAGGAATGATGATCTAGAACCTAGAAATGTGTGGTTGCAGCCCTTTGCTCCCCAGGGGCCACAAAGGAATGATGATCTAGAACCTAGAAATGTGTGGTTGCAGCCCTTTGCTCCCCAGGGGCCACAAAGGAATGATGATCTAGAACCTAGAAATGTGTGGTTGCAGCCCTTTGCTCCCCAGGGGCCACAAAGGAATGATGATCTAGAACCTAGAAATGTGTGGTTGCAGCCCTTTGCTCCCCAGGGGCCACAAAGGAATGATGATCTAGAACCTAGAAATGTGTGGTTGCAGCCCTTTGCTCCCCAGGGGCCACAAAGGAATGATGATCTAGAACCTAGAAATGTGTGGTTGCAGCCCTTTGCTCCCCAGGGGCCACAAAGGAATGATGATCTAGAACCTAGAAATGTGTGGTTGCAGCCCTTTGCTCCCCAGGGGCCACAAAGGAATGATGATCTAGAACCTAGAAATGTGTGGTTGCAGCCCTTTGCTCCCCAGGGGCCACAAAGGAATGATGATCTAGAACCTAGAAATGTGTGGTTGCAGCCCTTTGCTCCCCAGGGGCCACAAAGGAATGATGATCTAGAACCTAGAAATGTGTGGTTGCAGCCCTTTGCTCCCCAGGGGCCACAAAGGAATGATGATCTAGAACCTAGAAATGTGTGGTTGCAGCCCTTTGCTCCCCAGGGGCCACAAAGGAATGATGATCTAGAACCTAGAAATGTGTGGTTGCAGCCCTTTGCTCCCCAGGGGCCACAAAGGAATGATGATCTAGAACCTAGAAATGTGTGGTTGCAGCCCTTTGCTCCCCAGGGGCCACAAAGGAATGATGATCTAGAACCTAGAAATGTGTGGTTGCAGCCCTTTGCTCCCCAGGGGCCACAAAGGAATGATGATCTAGAACCTAGAAATGTGTGGTTGCAGCCCTTTGCTCCCCAGGGGCCACAAAGGAATGATGATCTAGAACCTAGAAATGTGTGGTTGCAGCCCTTTGCTCCCCAGGGGCCACAAAGGAATGATGATCTAGAACCTAGAAATGTGTGGTTGCAGCCCTTTGCT